TTCGTTAACATTGTGACTTAGGAAGGTATTTTAAAATGTTAAAAATGCCAAGTGCTTCAGCAGAATAGACAATTATTTTCAGTACCTTGCAAAGACAGAATGGACCAACTAACCCTCCAAAACGTCATCAAGTGCTTGAAGGTCAGTGAACCTGCCCATAGAAGTTGCTCACTAAGTGCTGAACTTTCACTGAGACACATCTGTCAGATGCCATAAAAAGACTAAGACCTGCAACTTGTGACACCTGCAGAAAACTAGCTCAGGTAATAGCCGTATCTATTTCAGTGACATCTGGGGTCAGGCTTATTTTCTCACATTTCTATTATTTAAGTCTGAGCCTCATCATGAAGAATCAATCTTCATTTTAAGATCATAGAAGCATTTTCTATTTGTCAAACATTGCAGAAGCCCTGCTGATCAACTGCAATAAAACAATCAGCTCCCGACGTGCCTTCAGTGCACGGCAATGCCAGGAATCCACAAAGGCAGGCTGCACAAACTGCTAGGCAGCAAATTGAATGCAATAAACTATCATTTTCCTGAACATCTTCTCAAAATCAAAGTGTAAAGTACACACTGCAGGTTCAGCACCTCCAATGGTTCCTACAACAAACCACCAAACCACAAAGGTGAGAAGAGACATTTACCCTGGCACAGGCTTCCTCTGCTGCACCCTATCTATTTTGATGGCCAGTTTTCTCCTTCCCGGTTAGCCATGGTGCGGCCCCACGCTGCAGCACTGGTAGGGCAGGGGCAGAAGACAGAAGGGAGGACCCAAGGCCATTTGGTTCCTTCATTTTTAAGAAAGCAGATGCTTTCCTTTTTTTCAGGAGGCAGACGTTGATTTGTTGAGACCATCTCTTTCCACAGAAACACACTGGCTTTGACTGAGGTTTTCAGAGATGCTATTTCCCAGGGTCAAGTCGCAAGTTCCAGGCAAAGTCAGAGATCAATTTCAGCAGAGCTGAAACCAGAGTTTTCCATCTCCCACGAGGGCTCTCTAGGCCACTGAACCAATCTCTCCCAGTGCAAACAAGTGATCACGAGACACTTGGCCAGGAAGAACAAGGAATGCAGGAGATGCTGTTTCATAGACAGGAGCCCCAGATGCTCGTTTGCTCTTGATTTATGCATAGCAGGAGTTCCATCTCTGCTCCTTGAATTTATTTGCTTTTTTTTCTTCATGAGTATCAACTTTTAATTTCATTCTACTCCGCACCAAACTCTGAGGGACCTTTGGTTATCTAAACTGGACTGCAGGGGTTGGGAGGGTGGCTCAAAAACCCCTCGAAAATTTAGTTGTTACTTTCTGGCTCTGGCCTTGGTGGAAGCCTCACATATACAGGGCAGGAGACTACAAACTACAGCAAGCACTTTTGCTTATGACTCCACTTTCCATATTACAGAATGTAGTTACAGCCTCACTACAGAAACAGTGCCTTGGCACACAATGAGTAATGCAATACCTTGAGACGAGGCAGTAAACCTCAGTCTAGGGCTCAGTTTCAATCCAAGCTGTCACAGGTTTAAGATGACAGAAGAAAATCAGTACCTGTACATTAGCCTGACCATATACATCATCACTGCAGGCTATGATTTGCAATATTCTGAGTAGAAGATTTTATTTCAAGGTAATACCGAGTGAAAGGGTGAAGCGCCTGGGATGCGATTCACAAGGGTGGTCAGCTTCTCCATTTTTCTGCATGATCTTTTTCACCATGGAGACAATAGACACTTGCTTAGGAAAAATGTTTGGTTTAGACCACATTGATCATAAAATCTGAATGTTCACCACATAGATGTTATAGCACATGATTTTTTTATATAAAACACTGACTTGCTGTTACTGCAATATTTACTTTTAATATCAATATCAGTTAAATGCATGCATCTAAATACCTAAACTTCGCTAAGAACATTGATTTCTATGTCAATCATAAATGCTTTGTGTTAGCTATTTTATTTGTAGTATTTAATAGACTGAAGATGACAGCCCTGCTTAGCAAGACAGTCCAGATTAACAAGAAGTGTCAGATACTGTTTTTATAGTCCTTGTCTGGCACCGAGATCTTCTAGCATATAAGCTCTACCTGCAAAATGTGCATTACGATGCAATATAATTCCATACCAGTTTCTTACAGAAGCAATAAACCCATTTGATGTAGATTAATTTTCAAAAATTAATATCATAAAACCAGGCTGTTCTAAACCTGCCACAGTTTTTGAAGGAGAAGTCAGAATAAGTCTTAAAAAAAATTAAAAATGCAATAACACAAGTATTTTTCCCTGTGATCTCCTGTTGATACCACCAAATCCTTGTAAACTTACGTTTTTAAGAGCAAACAATGCATGCACTCTAGTCTTTCAAAGCAGCAAAGCAGTAGTTTTCCAAATGTATTTTCTCGAATATTAAAGTGCTTTGTTGACTTATTTACTGACACTTCACTGCACTGCACTGCTTTGTACATAAAAAGCCTAAGCAGCACATTTCTGCAAAACTCATGAATATTATTCATAACCACTAAATAAAGTTAAGAAAAGGACATGAAATTCTACTGAATAATTTAGTAAAAATCATATCAAGTACCCAATCTTCCAATTCCAAGTATAGGAATCATTAAATTAGATTTATAGAAAAATACTGGCAGAAGCAGAAATAATCCTTAAAACACTTCTACCTCTTTTTCACCAAAAGTAAAGCTACTTTTTTTCCTATGTTCAGGGCTTCCTACGATTATCCAACAGAGGGCTCCCGGTAGCTATTAAAAAGCTTAATTGCAAGCCAAATATACGAACTCTAACATACACATACAAATCAGCGTACTGTCATTTTAATAACCTGTTCAGTATGCACATACATGTGCACCTACACCCAATTTATTAATTTGTAAAATCATACAGTAAAACCACCCAGGTAGTGCCTTGTCATAATTTGTATGCTGCTAAAGTATTTTTTCCAAAACACTATTTTTAACTGTGGAAAATGAGTGTATTTTTAATCCTCTTTACAAATGAAATTACATTTTCTTATCATTTTTTTACTCTCACTTGAAAAAAGTGCTAAGAAAATCACGTGGAGTAGTTTGACCGCTACATGAGTATCAGCCAGTGGGAGAGGCAAGGGCAGAGACTGAAGCCCAGGTGGCTGCTCGTGCACATGGAGCACTTATTTGCTAAAGCAAATCTACAACTGACAAACTTTATCTCATCGAGACAAAAATGCAACCAGACCGTTTCAGCAAGAGGGTATTTCAAACTACGTTAAACCTTAATCTCTTTGTTGAGATGGTTACAAAGTGGGCTTGCAGTACAGTAATTCTGAAATGCTGAAGTGATCAACGTACTTGGTAGATTATGCTTTTCTGACATCCAGATACCTGAGGCTAATAAAACCCAAGCATTTTTTAAAGATTTTGACAATACAGCAGGAAATATAAAGTTTGTGAAGAGTCTTGGTATGTGCTCTTGGAGTTTAGGAAGGACTTCAGCCATCCAGCAAACTGTCCTTGGAGACTGTAAGTAAAAGGGTCCTATATATACCCTTCACCCTGAGGTCTCCCAGTAATATTATTCACCTCACCATTTAAAGGCCTCAAATTTAAATCAAGGACATCACAATGCAGTGTGGCATATCTTCTCTCAGTAACATATGCTGAGATTTCCTGTAGGTTACATACTTTTTTTTGAAAATCCAATTGAATGCCACAGCCGACACAGGATCGTGTTGGTGTGTCCTGCCTGATCAAAAAACCCTCATGGCATATTATCTGCTCAAATACAGTATGATCATAAGTCAAAGCTATTGTCCTGCAATAAAGTAACGTTAGTATTCGATGGGTTTAGTAAGTTATTCACCACAGATGAAGAAAATACATAAACTATTGTACAAGAAGCTTTTAAAAAAGTTTTTACAGTATTAAAAAGAAATGGCCTATCTGTAATTCACTAAGTTAATCCTGCAGCACCTGCAGATGCGCCCAGAACATTAGCCAACATGGCATCATTTTTACTTCTGAGATTGTTTGTTTTCCATATTAGCTTTTGAGCTTATCTATGATAATACTAATTTGCTTTACTCCACACCTTTACATTCAACTGTGAAAATACATACCTGCACCTTCTTGCACATGCTACAGAAGTAACCTAATACAGATCCCTCCGCTGAATCTCAGTGACTAAATCCTCCAAAACTAGTTCTGCACTTTTAGAAATGCAGGCTTTTTGACCATAGTCTTAGCAGGTGAAGTACAAAAGCTGTACTTTGCAATGCTACATGCCACACAATTAGGTTTGTTTTTCAATTTATAGCACTGTATTTGGTGCCTTCATTCACGCTGCTTTTACCTGCAGTGATACTGCAAAGCATGTGGACACGTAATACAAGTAGAGAAAAACGTATGCTATTTACAATGGCATTATGGCAATGCTAAACTCTAAGCAAAATCTTTTTAGAAATTTTTGGCAGAATACAGAACTAGAAGGAGCCTGGCCTAACCTGAACTGAGTTTGATCTCCTCACACATTCGAAAGTCTACGTTCAGACCAAGGTGTCTGGGTGCACATAAACATTTGGAAGATCTAATCCATATTGCAATCTGATGCAATTCTTTAAAAGTAGCCAATGCGCTCTCAACCCTCCGCCCCACCATCAGACCTGAGGGTTGTATCTGAGGTTCAAGAGCAAACTCAGATGCCAGTTTTTGCAACTGCCCTCGCACTTAGAATACAGCCATTTCTTAAACTAAATTCTGAGTGCCTTTGGCACAGGAGTATTTGAAAACAATCTCCCTTTCCCCTTCAACTGCATGGTAGGTATACAGGACCTTTGGAAGAAACCAGACTAGTCTGGCATGCAAAATTATATGCTATTTTAAAGATTTAGACTCTCATCATTATGCAGCTATCATTTTACTACTTAAGTCCAAGAGTAGATACAATGCATGTACAGAAACAGCAGTAGTGTAACAAAGACATCAAACGAACTCTAACCATTTACTTACCACAAGTCTCCGTCTTCAATAGTCTTGTCATTTGGGGCTCCAGCATGGCCGTAGTGCAAAACAGATGAGTTCTCCCCACTGACAGGCAAAAAGAAAATTCAGCAGAATTAATGGAAGAAGAAACATTAACACACACAAGATGAGAAGGAACACTGTAAACATCAGTGTATTAATATATTAAGCACGAAATTGGAGCTGTGTGAGAACTGCCATACACTCTGCTCTCTTGTAGGCTGTAATAGCATATCCTGCAGCTTGCTCAGGAGAAACGGGTATGAGACAGGCATTTTGCTATTCTGGCTGCAAGAGATGACCTTTCTGCAAGGAAAAGGAACTTGGCGCAGTTCATATAAATACTTCCCACATCCATGGCAGTGTTACGGAAGCAACTATGCAAGAGTAATTTTTCAACCTATACCCATTTATTACCTTCTGGATTTTTTTAATTACTAAGTGATATGTTTCCCTGTTTGCGGTTAAACATTCTGAGGCATAAAAAACTAACTTCAACTGGAGTAAAATCCAACCTGTTTGAAATTCTCTAGGAGTCACTGAGACTGGAAAAATCCAGCTTCATACTTATCCAAGTAAACAGCTCCAGTTCACCTCTGGCACGGCCACGTGTGATCTCTGCTGGAGCAGATACACTGCACGCTGCTCAGGGAGCATGTGCCGCATACAATGTCAGCAGCAAGAACAGGCACAAGAACTGTCGCTCCGTTCTTACCTCTTATTAAAAAAATCCCATTACAAAGAAAAGATTTTTATTCCTGGAAACCTTTCAGACTAAACTGCTGATTCACAGGAATAAAACACCTCCAGAGCAGGATGGACCCTTGTTCTGCGCTTCTGAAGCTCCATGATCCATTCACTAACCTATATTTGGCTTTGGCATCCTCTCTTGTCTACTGATATTCCCCCTGGTCTATCAAACATCACTTAAAAGACTGGCAAAGATCTCAAGCTCTACCTTTTTTTCTTTTACTGTTCTCCTCAGATAGATGCTCTCTTCTTCTCTTCAAAAAGCTAGAAGAATTATATCATATCCAAAAATACAAGTGTTGGGACAGGGTTACTACATCTCTCCAACCCCTCCAGCTAACTTGCCAGTCTGTATCTCACCTTTCATGAAAAATGTATTGGTCATTCTGCTCAAATTTGATTCTTTCAAGTAGTGATGGTGGAACAGCTTCATATCTTAGGTGAAAGGAATCTGTGGCTCAATTTCAAGGAATCTTTTGTTGTATCTGGAGTAAATGTGCCATTTCACATACTTCTCGTATTAGACTTCTGATATGTGCAATTACAAAACCCGTAAACATGCACAGTATCCAAAAAGAGATTACCTTCAAGATACATTAACCACTTATGATTAATTAGATATTTAATACACAATTGGTCATTCAGATATAACTCCATAAGCAATGATTATGGAGGAGAAAGTAGATGCTGCCTTAGGTTTCTGAAGGCTCTCAATCTAAAGGGCTGGATCACTGAAAGCAGTAAGTTTTTATTGTTAAGTAGTTTTTAGCATAGACAAATCACTATGTAATAAGGCAGTGAAGGACAATGTCTCAGAATCATGGGAATGATTTTTTAACACAAAGTGTTATTTCTTAAAATTATACACACTCCAAAGGGAAAAATTGAAGCCACAGAATTAAGGGTGTAACAGTTTTGTTCTGTGATGCTGGGCCAATGGCTTAAGCACAGTTTTACAACCGGCTACTAGCTGGCTGCTTTTTAGTTCCTGGATGTCTGACTCGGGAACCTAATGCTGTTGTGCAGGTAACTAAAAACGGCCCCATAAAGCTTGCACACAGGATGCAGACAGACGTGAGCTTCCTTCTGAGATGGGCACCGGTTGAATAGTTCCTTCTGGCCACAATTCCAGTTTTCCACACCAGGCCACTTTCAAACTTAGTTTGTTCTGTCTAAAAAAAAGATCTATAATAGGGCAATGGACTGCAATCAAAAGAAAAGGGCCATCTGTGCCTGGCGACGTGTACGGTGGGAACCCTGTTTCCAGCCTCAGCCATCTCCTTTCACGTGCAGGTGATAGCAGCAGAGACTGCTCCTACCCCTGCGTTGGACTACCAGCATGACGACAGGCGAGAGCATCATCTCCTGCCTGAAGAACTGCTTCCCAGGTGGAGGGTTACAATTTTTGGGGTGCGGCACTTGGAAACAACGGGAATGACCTTGGTGCTATGCATGACACTGTTTGTGACCCCACATGCTTGGTGTTTACAGAAAAATTTTTAAAACCCCACACCTGGCACGTGCACACATGCTCACACACACGCTCCAGAGCAGTTTGTCAGGATTTCAGCTGCAGGTACTATTCCTTATCTCCCTCTAAAAATGGGGATAAAGCAGAGGAAGCAAATAGCACATGCATATATTTACGATCAACTCTTAAAAAATTATCATGAAGCTTAAGGGCATGACTCCATGCTAATGTATTTGCAGATAGCTTGTTTACTTATCATCCTACGCGGGCACCCTCGGTGCCACATACCATACCAGCTGCATAAACAAGTCATATATTCAAATCTGAGTACTACAGAAATGCTTTCAACAATAGACATTGCAAATACAAAGAAAAGGATTTCTTTTGCACGTTTTAATTTAAAGGTTTTAGTTTACAAAATATTTCTGTAAGGTTCGGCACCAACTGTTATGGAAGATGCATGAAAAATCTGTTTTTCAGCACCGTTTGTGAAGCGTTAAGCAGCACACAATCTTTCTTGGCATTTGAGACTCCTTATCTGTCATGCACATCTTGGCTCCGTCGCGTAAATGGAATCATACCACAGCGAGCACAGTTGGTGCTGAAGACCAGATATGCACACCATATGCATTTCAGGTTTTTTGTCTGTTCAAAGTGATTGGGGTGAGGAGGTCTGCTCACTTGGGACTGGCTCTGGGCAGGTCCCCAGGGCTGAACACCCATTAGCAACCGAGGCACAGCAGATCTGCTCCTGAAAGCTCTCCTAGCTCTTTTTCACCCAAAAGAAATCCAGCATGTGCACTCCAGGACTGGTACCCGGCTCTCAGCAAAGGCCTGCAGCTGGGGACGAGTGGGAGATCTTGCTTCAGAAATGCACTACTGACCCCAATTAAAACAGCCCGTTCCTGCCAAGAGCTGCAAGTCCAATCTTCCTCCCAGGAAGCATCTTTACCACCATCCCAAGACGAAGGCAGGAAAGATGCTTCAGGAGCAATGCTACAGAATTGATGTGTACCCGGCAAGGTAAATGCTACAGCTAGCCAGAAGTTATTCATAATGATTCATTTAGACTTTCAAGGTGGCTTCAAAACAATTTAAACAAAACCCCCAGCCACTGGCAAAGCAAATGAGCCTTCCTATAGAAGCTATTTCTTTTCTTCCCAAGGAGCAACAGTTGAAAGGTCTGGCATTAGACCACCAAAGTTGGGGTTTAAAATGAAGCGCTGTGGTGAGGTGAGGATCACCAGCAGCTCCGCTGCCTTCCTGGAGGTCAGCACCTTGGAAAACCACCGCGCGTGGGGATGCTGATGTCTGCCTTCAGGCAGCCAGCTTGAAAAATTCTCCAAGAGATTTCTGTGTATCTATTTTTATTCCTTTAATAATTTGCCTTTAACTGGTACCAAAGATGTGTTTGTTACAGAAAGAATTGCAGGAAGCAGCAGAAAAGCTGCAAATTAACACCGAGAATGCAAACATTAGGAATAGATTCAGATTATTAGGAAAGGGAAAAAAAAGTCCCCAAAATATATTTTAGATCAGAAAATACCCTGAAAACAAATGATTAGAAGAGAGAGAAGGAATGTCAGCAATATTGTAAGAACAAGACTAAGCTGAGCATCAAGCATTACAAAAAGTGCAGCTATTAGCTCTACATTAAGAACATCTAAAGAAAAAACAACAGACCATCAACCAAACCAGCAAACTATTTCCATCATAATTTAAATACTAAAATCAATCCAGAAGGAAGCACTAACAGCCTTCTCTTCACGTTTTCATCTAAGAGATGAAATCTTAAAAAGTTGTGTTGAAAAGAAAGGAAGGAAAAAAACCAAACCAGATTCAGTAAGTATCCTAATGTTATCCAAAAATATTTACTTATGGTGATCCGCAGACAGAGGAAGGCCTTTCACTGCACTATGTTACTCCTAATCACTGGTGGTCATCTGCTGAGAGCCATCATCTGCCTGGAGTCATCTGTCAAGAAGATTCCAAGCTAAGTCTAAGATGCTGCAGTATCAAGTAGCAGCTGACCATGGCTTCTGTGGTGGTTGCAGAGATACCGATGCCTCCACCTAAGTCCAGCTGGAAGCTTCTGTGCCTGGTTACCAGTGGATGCCATCCATCCCAGGGTCACCAGGACGCACTGTGCACATAACTTGACCTCTTTTTTCCCCTTTGTAAAAATGGCTACTTGGTATGCTAAGACACCACAATGAGTATTTCATTAGCATTTGAACACTACTGAGAAGTCAACACGTTGTAGCACTAAATATATCCAAGTACGTTTATCAAATACTACCACTGTCATTTAATTGCACTTACGTGACGTCTGTTTGCACTTCAAACCATTTACAGGTTGACAGTGTTTGAAAGTATTGCTAACTACAGGACTAACCTCGTTATGTGATAACCTGTAATACTAATATAAGTGTGTTGTTATTCTCAAATGATTGGAGAGTGAATAGATGCGAGCGAATACTTTGGTCACACCAAATACTCATTTACCATCTCCTAAAAGAGTGTTAACCCTGGACAGGGACAGCAACAAATGCATGCACTCAACATGTGCAAAGTGATTTATTTTTGTACTGAAATATAGTATTGATTACTCTTGATTTCCAGCTTAGTGACCATCTTTTCTAAAATCCGAGTAACAAACTTGATTTTTACTTAAAAGCATGATTCTCTTCTACAGAAAATATTATCAGGCCTGTAATCTAAAAAGGAAAGATCCTGTCAAAATATCACAGTTTTAAGTGTCAGAGAAACAATAACACTCAGCCTGAATAGAATAAAAAAAAAAACTATTCAAAAATCCTAATTGCAAAAACTATTTTTAATCATGAATGTAGTGAAGTGGAATATTTACAATGCATGACATTTTCATGGTAATAAAAAATGCCTATTATTTTTGCCATTACTATGTTAATTGAATTCATCAAATAGATCTACTTATATTCATTTTATTAGGACCTAGCTTAAAACTGTTAATATTATTCATTCTTACTTCATCACTCATAGTCAGAATACAGCAATTTATGGACAAAGGCCTTTGTAGTCTATCTTATGTCATTTTTTTTTTTTCCAACAAGTTTATCTGCGCTTTTAGTTGTAGTGGTAGGATACAATGCCAGCTCCCAGCTACAACAGTGAGTCATGATATTGTTAGGATCTTGCATTTCAAGGGCAGCCCTTCTCCATGTATCCTCCAGTGGTTCAGAGGCAGCCCAAACATCGCTCCCATGCCCTGCTAAGCCCTTCTAGCGTGGTGGGACGGGACACCAGGAAGTCCTGTCACCGCCCACTTCTGAACTACTGTTGGGGCTTTCCTCCTCCTGGGTTCCCCGAGTCATGTAATGCAAGTCCTGGGTTTTTCAGTCCTATGAAGAGTTTAGTCTGTCCCCATGGGGTCACGAGGACCAACTACACAAGCACACGGCAGGCGTTTCTATAGGTTTAGCAAAGCCATTGATGTTCTCTAGCACCCAAAGCAGATCCTGCAGCACGGGTCCTGATTTACTGTAAGTGAACGTGAAGTCTGTAATGGGACAGAGACAGCTTGATTTTACCATCACAGCCTGTGACAATACCATAGAGATGGAGTCTCATTTCAATGGGATGTTAATTCTCAAGTTATATGATGCTACTTAAAACAGGAAACTTTTTCAATTTAGACGCACGATTTGCCGTAAAACTGCTCATGCTCCTACTGCAATTTTGCACATAAATTGGGAAGTTGCATTTACAAATAAGCAATTGCATAAACACCAAAAAGAAGTGAAGATGCTATTTGTCCTTATTACCTCCAAAGCAATATAACATTATTGTCATTAACGTAAAAATTATTTTTTATCAGTGTATGTGACTTCAGTGTAGGGCAAATGTTTCTGAGTAGCAGCAGTTCTACAAGTGGAACACATATACCAACATATATGCCTCATCTGTCATATATCTCTGATTAGATTAATTCTTCTGACTAAGTAAGATTAATCTCTGCACAAAGCACACAGCTGTCCTTCAACACATACCTTACACCATTTTCTTGAAATTCTGCAAATTAAAAATGTGCCTTTCTACAACTGCAGGGACATCTTTTATACTTTCCCAAATACAATACCTTCAACAGTAGCAGTTCAGCAAGAAAAAGAGAGAGTAAAAAATTTCCAAATTCCAAAAAGATTAGTTTAATCCCATCCTAACCTTTAAGGCAAAGGATTTTGAGAATGATATGAAATACTTAAGGTGTATTTCAAAGAGAGTATTTTTGAGCAACAGAGAATAGCTCTAAAGCCCTTCTCCGTAATGCTATTTAATAAAAAAGCCAATTGCTGCACAGATGTGAGCATAAACATGATCTTGGCAGTAGCAGCAGTCATTGGGGAATCTCTTGAGTGCAGCAGAATCTGTAACTGAGTTATTTCTTTAAGACACAGAGCTAGCCACCTTTCTTTGGCTTCTCCAGAGGAAACAGTTCAAAACTCACTCTGGTGGCACTTGCAAACACATCAGGTGCCTGAAAGGAACAATTTTGCAAATATACAGTGGGAAACTGACCATAAAGACTGCGGCAGTTCAGTATAAACCATTGACTTACCTGCCACAAATGCAAGTGTACGAAGTGTGGCGCATGCCACCTCGAGTGTAGCAGTAGTGCTGGAACAGGCTGCAAAGAAAGGAAGGTGGTAATTAATAATATATTCAAAACCAGCACAAGACAGGGAGAAAAGCAAGTCTTGCTTGAGCACAGCTGTGTTGGTGCAAATCCTCAGCTCCCCGACGAGGTGCTCTGCCCACTTCTGCTCAGCTGAGCAGGCAAATTCACCCACATCACAGCTCAGCAGCCCTGCGGAGCGTCACGCAATTTCCACAAAGCCCATTAAGCAACTCTGCAGCAGAGAAAAAGGGCTCCAGTGCAGCTTGGTAACTTCAAATGGCAAACTGTCTTCCTTAACAATTCAACATAGAAAGGCAAATTACTGTTGGCAAATGTTGGTAGTTAGCGTCTCACCATAGAATAAACAGCATGTTTAACAAACAGTTAAATGCCGAAGCTGGCCAAACTGTCCGAAGTGGAGTTGAGAAAACCACTTCTCGCTGCATTTCAGGTACACAAATCACATCCATGATCCGTATTTACAACCCTGCTGCCTTCAGTCTGTGGTGTGTAGATTCAACAAAAGTGAAGTCCGACCAACCCTTCACAGGGAAGGAACTCGCCAGACAGGGCAAAGCTCTTCTTTCAAATAATTTCAGCTGAAGCACTCTCGGTTTTACCACCTCACTGGTAGCCTCTGCTGAAAGCTGAGCTAAGGAACCCTACATAGGTGTGAAGCCTGAATCGCATCTGCCCACGCTGTATGCTCTCCCCTCCAGACAAGCCAGCAGAGCTCTCCCATTAGGTCAAGCCAGGCACTTTCTGCTAGTGTCACAGTCCATGCTGGAATGGATGGTCTCATGTTTTCTTGTCTGTAGCACAACAGACACAGAGAAAACATAAGGCTACTCAGTTTCAGATTGTGGTACCTAAATACCTCCATGATCTTCCCCTGCGCCACCCCCCCACCCCCCCAATTAACACAGACTCAATCCCAACAGCAAGATATGATAACATTAGGCTCAGTCCTCAACAAGCTATAAAAAACATTACAACACAACATTGTTTGCTTTTGTGTGTGTGAGGGACAGGAAAGGGAAAGAAGAGCAGCCCCGTGCTCTCCAACAGGCCTCCTCTTGCGCTGCCATCCTGCTGGAGGAGCTGTTTGGCCTTAAAAGCATTAAAACATTTTCATCTTCACTGTCAAAGTCCCCTTCACCTGAGGGCAGATGTGCCCAAAGCACAATTAATGTAGGATTAGGTGCTTTAAGAGCTAAGCACATATCATGGATCCTTTTATTCTTTTTGAAATACACTCTAATTACAATCCAATTCCCTTTAATAAGGAATGAATTTCAAAAACTCATTTGTTGTAATACTGAAATCATTTCATTAACACAGAGTGATAATGGTGCTAGTCAAAGAATAGAGATGTCGTGATTTTGTCCTTCAGCAGCAGCAATCCACAGAACACAATTCAAATTCTTTGAAGGATATTAAATACATTACATGCTTGTAAATCCAAACCAGATTTAAAAATTACACAAAATGGCAGTATTTAAAGAGAAACAAAACAAAACATGCAAATTAATCACACAAAGAAAAAGAAAAGCCTACATTTAGAGATTTAGTAGGGAGTTTACAAGATCTCTTTTCTGCTCAAAATGCTGTGGTTTTACAAGGTAGAAATACTAACTTTGTATTGCCCTAGAAACCAGTAATGGCAAAGAGAAGCTCAAATGACAGAGAAGCTAAGGAGAAACTCTGACATGGTGAGGGCTCAACAGAGCTATCACTAAATTGCGCTAATAAAATTTATCACCTAAACAGTCATTTGCGCTCAGACTTTTTTTTTTTTTCACCAAATGGACTTTCATGTGGGAACAAAGTTACAGATCTGCTCTTCCCTGGCATGCTTGCAGGCAAGGTTTACTCTGTAAGACACCACGCACAAGCGCTGTGCACAATAATACATTATACTGTTCTAGATGTATAGTTACATTTTAGGAAGCAACTTTCAGTGTATTTTACAGACCCTTTACCTTAAATGACTCAATAAACTACCTCCACTAGGCAGCAACTTTCAGTAACCTTCTAAAGAGCTTTAAAAATGAAACAATGAAGGTTGTAAACATCTTTTCCTCGGTGATGCAGGGATAGCAGGGTTTATTTTTCCATATGACAATTGATTACATATTCATGGTTGCAATTTATATGAAACTGTGCAGCCAAGTAACAGTATGCAACTTTTGCAGTGCTCCCCGCCTAGCAGTAAAAAGTAGTAAATAAATTAAGACGTGATTCATATAATCCAGCTGTTTGCCTGAACTTTGTTTCTGCTTTCTAAAAAAGGAACCCGATTGTTTCATCGAACATTGTAGACTTTCTTTTAAGAGTAAGTAAGAAGTGGTTGTTCATGTGACTGAGCTGAAGATAGTACAACTTTGCCAGGTAATGAGTTTCCTGCTAGTAAAGCTACTTGCATCACTTTTTTAGGCTATGACTCATGAGAAACATGTTCTGGAGTTGGAAAAAAAATCCAACATTTCTGTTGAGACAGCCAACATCCTTGTATAACATCTCCTATCTAAGTGAAGGATTGCATATCCCTTTGATAGCAAATGCTGGCTTTTCATAGCTGAAAAATGTATATATAGAATTAGAGAAGCTGGCAGTACTGTACTTTGTAATTAAAATCCTGGTTCCACTGAAGCTAAGGCAGATTCTGCCACTAGATTTCACGCCAGGGTTTCACTGTCTACACACTGCAAGAATCTCTACCCAAAAGTGTAATACAAAAGTATAAAGTCTGAAATAGTTGGGTGGAATATAATTTAATCTGGCACTCCACATATATTGCCAGTATTGTATCTTGAACTTTGCCTGGTCTTTTTGACTGGAGGATATGTGTGTTTAGGCAGTTTTATATTGGTGCTGGATGCTTTACCATGAGCTTTCAATGCAACCAACACAGAAATGAAAGTTAAGGACCTCTTTC